AAATCTCTGCTTCAGCAACCATTGTAGATGCGTGTGTGGTGGGGGAGAGGGGCACTTCATGCTGAATGGAGGTGAAATGCATCGGATCTTCATGTTCTCAAATAGTTTCAGCCCTTCTGCTCATAGGGACTCTAGGTCTAAGTGAGCGACCGTCAAAGCCAGTGGTGCCAGCAGCTGTAGCCAAAGAGCTGTGCAGGGGCAGAATTTCTTTGCAGGAATTGTAGGACACAGATTTTTGCTACGTTCATCGCTTTTCTTGTTACCAGAATGAGCTCAATTATTGACTGGGAGGTATAGCTGGCCTCTGCTAGTTTTGAGCCTGGGTTATAACTCTGTCTTAAATGTGGCTAAGCATCCATCATCCAATTTACAGATGGGGAAACTGCGGCACGGTGACTTGCCCAAAGTCCCCCAACCAGTCAGTGCAGACCTAAGAACAGAGCCCGGATCTCCAACATCTGGCCTTGTAGACTAAAGCCACTAATCCCTGTTCGTTCCCCACGTCGCGCTGAAGAGAACTTGCATGGCAGCCCCCAGTGCTTTCTGGGCTCTGTGGGTAAAGGCAGGGGGCAAGGTTATCCTAGCTGTGCTGCTCCATCCATCAGGAGTGGATCCCGAGTGATTACTCCTCCATCTGAAATGCCATTGGATCTATCTCTCCCACGCCCCCATGTAAGACCCCAGAGTCTTTGCCCCCCCACCTGGGAGGCTGATGGCTCCATCCCTGTTCACTGCAAGTGCTGGAGGTTTTAATGGCAGCCGAGCTCCGGAATGATGGGACCCAGCTGATGTGCCTCTCTGGCACCCAGCCTGTTGCCATGGCAATGGCAGGCATTTGTGCTCCTGCAGGATATTGCTTTCCTGTAACCTCCCTGTTTCATTCTCTTGCTCACACAAAGAAAGCAAGTGCTTCAGCGGCGCTTTGCGGGAAGATGTGCTCTGCATACAAAACACTCCGCCCGCCTGCCCTCCCCAGCTGGATTCCTCTCAGGGTGAGCGACAGTGGAGAACATCAGTACTGTACAGAAAGTGCATGCTGAGCCAATGCAGGAAGAGCAGGCTCCAAGAGCAAACGCAGGCCATGGTCACTGAGATGCAGGAGCACTGCATCACTGCAGCTCCTTTTCATTAGCCAATGCATAAGGCTATGATGTAGTCACAGAGGTTATAGAAGTCGCGGAATCCATGACATCCAGCGACCACTGTGACTTCAGTCTGTGGCGGTCGGGAGCTGCAGCGTCCCTGGCTGACCCCAGGTAGGGAGCTGTGGGGTACCCCCACTGCCTCTGGCGGCCCCTGGAGCTCCAAGCTGCTGCAGGTGGTGGGGATACCCCACAGCTCCCGGCTGCCACAGGAAGCAGGGAACCCTGCAGCTCCTGGCTGCCATGGGTCATTGGAACCTTTTGTGCTTAACTCCACCATGGAAGGTGGTGGTCTTTCTGGGCTTTGGGACCAGGCCCTTAAGTCAATGGGAGACCTTCCATTGGCTTCCAACAGACCTGGGATGACTCTGGAGCACTGTTCTCAAACTTAACTTCCGTTTCCAGATGCCGTTCCTTTGCTAGCTAGAGGGCAGCTCTTGCTCACAAGCTCCTCATTCCGGGGGGGGAACCCATGCCGAGTTACTTTCCTGTTTTTAAACAAAGCCGTATCTGAGGGCTAGTCTACACTAGAAGCACTACATCGGTGCAGCTGTAGCATGTCTGGTGAAGACGCTCTGTGCCGACAGGAGAGCGCTTTCCCGTCCACCTCCTAAAACCACCTCCGCAAGAGGCTCTTAGGTCGGAGTAGCTTGCGTTGCTTGGTGACAGAAGTTATACCGGCATAGGCGGTCGGGTAGGCAAGCCTGGAGTGATTTGAGCCCCAAATGTGGAGAGGCTGTTCCTGTGTGTGGATGACTCCAAAAGGACTGATTAGCTTTGAGCCCTGCAGCCAACCCCAAACAAATTGTTCCGGAGTTGGGCCGACACATGAGAAATCTCAGCCCCAAGAGGACATTGTTTTAAAATGGGATCGAAATGGCTGTGCTGTTCCAGCCTTGGCTCGATCATTACCATGGTTTTGTCCTATATTCAAAGTAGTATTGACCACACATCTGTGTCGGGCCTTGCTTTTTCTCTCCTTCCATGCACGGTTGTTGTCTCTAAGATTGTTGTTGTCCTTTATTTCCCCCGGAGGGAGTTGCATGGAGTTACTTAACAATGTTTGTGCATCCAGGGACCTCCCATGTGTATTGGAGCTTTTTGTTTTTCACAGTTTCCTAAGCTCCGGTCTCTGTAGGTTAATACACTCTGTAGCTTTGCTTCATGTGGCCATGCTTCACAGCAGCGAAGGCTAAACCAAATGTAGATGGTTCTCCCCTCCCTCAGAGCCACCTGAACATCCTTCCTGATGAGTTAGAAATCCACATGGTCCAGCAGGGATGGGAGTTGGTTGGAGGGGCAGCATCTGTTCAGTGAGATGTGAGCCCAGAGGGTGCTCTATTTTCTGGCCCCTACTCCTTCACAGCCCCTGGCAAGCGCTAAGTGGGAATGGTTTCAGCCAGGGTTTGTTTTGTAGACTGCTGTCTACTTCAGTGTGCAAGAGTGCTGGTGAGCAGAGCCGCTTCTGGTAGCGTTCGACAATGATAAGTGGGTGAGAGGAGGGCTGTGCCTGTTCATCTACGTACTTTCCTTAGGCCTTTGTAAAGGAAAGAGAAGCTGTAATCAGGAGAGAGCTGCTATTTGCATTCCCCAAATCAGCTTGTTTTGTCTCCTACATCTGCTCGGAGCAACTCTGGCTGAGACTTGGAGGGCTTGTCTGCATGGAACATTACTGTGCAGCCAGCTGATGAGCTGGAGATTCACCCCCTGGCTTTCCACACACTAACTTACCGTATAGACAAGCCCTGAAAACCTGTCTGAGAAATGCTGTGTTGTGCAGGAAATTGGCCTGGATGCTAAGGGAGATGGATGGCCTAGAAGAGGACAAAGCCCGGGACTGAAAATCAGAAGAGCTAGATTCTCTTCCTGACTCTTCATGCAAGTCGCTTAACCTGAGATTGCCTACAAGGGCATATGGCCCATCCAGTACTTCTCTTAGCAGATATCTCCATCGGCTGGAGATAGGGCACTAGATGGGGAGGGCTCTGAGTTACTACAGAGAATTCTTTCCTAGGTGTCTGGCTGGAGGGTCTTGCCCACATGGTCAGGGTCTAACTGATTGCCAGAATTGGGGTTGGGAAGGAATTTTCCCCTGGGTCAGATTGGCAGAGAACCAAGGGGGTGTTTGTCTTGATTGCCGGTCTGAACTAGAGTGAATGGTAGATTCTCCATAACTTGAAGCCTTTAACTCATGATTTGAGGATGTTGGAAACTCAGCCAGAGGTTCTGGGTCTGTTACAGGAGTGGGTGGGTGAGGTTCTGTGGCCTGCAATGTGCAGGAGATCAGACTAGATGATCATGATGGTCCCTTCTGGCCTTAAAACCTGAGTCTTGGCACCTAACTTTCCCCATCTGTGAAATGGGGATAATGCCCACTGCCTGAGTGCCCTGTGACTTTATTGTCTAAGCACTCAGACACAGGATTGCCACCCCAAGACTTCAAAAATCACAAGTGGCTTAAAATTCATGGTTTAAAAAAAAATGGTTCTTCTCTGCAGCCATAAGGATGAGAAGGTTACTTTTCTTTTAATAATAATAAATAATAATAATTAATAATAAAAGCTGAAATTCCCAAATAATTACATGACTCCGTGAGCTGTAAATATACAAGTAGAATGCCAAATAGTCCGAGACTTGCAATAGAATAGCAAGAGGTGGCAACACTCTGGAGGGTGTGTGGGAGACCCACTCTGCCCAGTACCTGTGCGCTGGTTGGTGCAGCAGGGCTCCCCAAAGGTATCAGCCTGTGTGTCTAGTTGTTCCCATGCTTTACAAATCTCCAGTAAGTAGGAGGATGATGAGAGAGATGGTGGTGACCAATAAAACAGCTAGGGATAGAAAAAGATCCATTATTACTGATTGGGACATCAGGACAATTGTAGAAAACCATAATTATCCTCATAATCTTGTAAATGACCACTGCGGAGGTGTAGAGAGAAGAGCGGGTGATGGCGAAGTCCTGTGCAGAGAATGACCAGTGTTGGATAAAGCTGTTACATTCATTGTTAAAGCGTTCAGCCTCAATCCAACATAAACTCCTTTTCACATGAGTGAGGTGTCCAATGCTAGATAAGCCCTTTAGCTAGAAGTTTCTTTTGAGTTGATCAGCACTGGATTAATGTTGCCATTTTAAACAGTCTTCAGAGTCGATCCATTGAGATTAATCGACACAATTCATAGCTCTCTAAGCTGTCATTCCACTCAGTGAGATGGCACTGCATTGGCTGGTGCCTGAAAGACTTTCCTTGCAAACAAAATGGCTGCTAGCTCCTGTTTAAATGAAAACTACATTCAAGAATTGCAGAACTCTGTGACTGGCTGCAGAGTGCCTGGAAATCCCCAGCACAGGTTTCCCATGCCTCCCTCCAGTAACGTTGCTGGCTGTCCAGGCTGGTTTGCAACATTCGTTGCATGGTGGGAAAATGTCTCGTCCAATTACCTCCTTTACCTGAACTTTTCACTTCTCTTGTGAAGTGAAGCTGAGAAGTAAAACCACTGGCTTTTACCAGATATACTCTGGGTGGAGGGCAGCAAGTCCTGGTCTAGTTGGGGTGCTGACTGTATAAGTTTGGCCCAAGTTTAATGGTCACCTGCCCTTTTGCAGTCACACAATAGATCTTCCATTTCTCTGCCCCGCCCACCTCCATGGGAGGTGTATGCCAGGAACTTCACTGTAAGGAGTCCTGGCCTCCCCACTTCTACCTCATCCATGTCAGTAGGGTTAGCTTTTTGGATCCCATTTCCTTTCAATCACTTCAAAAAGAAAGGGCTCAAAGTCTCTAGTCTCCTGCCACCTCTACAGGTTCGCCAGCCTGCATTGTCATTACTCACCTGTGTGCTGTCCATGCCTCTTACCAGGTTATCCTGAAGGACCTAGAAGTTTTGGCTGAGATCGCCTCCTCTCCTGCAGGTCAAACAGAAGATCAGGGGCCATGTGATGGCTCTGATACGCAATTCAGCCAATCGGAGTTACACATTCCTGTCAAAGCCAGCCAGCTGAGCTCCTCTGGTAAGTGCCCTCCGTCCGTACCTTCCTGACAGTGATCTAAATTGTTAAGCATCCTCTCCCTTCCTAGCTGCTTCATTTCTCTTGAGGCAAAGTGGCACTTGTCAGATTTGGTCTGGCAAAGAGGGACTCTCTTGGAGTAATGAATCAATATACCAGTTCCAGCCCCCACATCGCTTGGGTATTTTGGGATGCAGAAGAGTGTTCTCCAGCTGCTCCTATCTACCCATCTGTGGATTCAGCCACGAAAGCAATCCACGGTTCCTGCAATATTTTTATATCTGATACACTGGTCACATTATTGCCACACTTAAATGGGACTGACTTTTTTCAGAACAATTAATAGTAAGTGCCCAAAATAGAACAAATTAAACTCTCCTGATCATAGAAAGGAGACCTGGGGAAGGAGGAGCTGTGAGCTGAGCCATTCATCAATCAGATGCCATATTTATATGGCGGCCACAAACTTTAAAAAGTATCTGTGCTTTTTGGGTGCCCAGTTTAAGCCACCTTGATTCCTTCCCCACCCCCAGTTTCTGAGCCTCACAGGAAATGCACTAGATGGGCAAGGTCCAGGATGTTAAGCTGGAGGCTTCCAAAAACTGACAGGTTTCAGAGTAGCAGCCGTGTTAGTCTGTATTCGCAAAAAGAAAAGGAGTACTTGTGGCACCTTAGAGACTAACCAATTTATTTGAGCATGAGCTTTCGTGAGCTACAACATCCGATGAAGTGAGCTGTAGCTCGTGAAAGCTTATGCTCAAATAAATTGGTTAGTCTCTAAGGTGCCACACGTCCTCCTTTTCTTTTTCCAAAAACTGAGGCACCCAAAATGTAAAGGCCCCAATTGAAAATGTTTTGGTCTGTGTCCATAGTGTTACACAGAGATATGTTCCAAGTGTCCTTGGCTTCATCTCTGTAAAACGAAGTTCTACGTTGTCCCAAGTGCCAGGACAGGTGAAATGTTAAAACTGGAGGAGGGGAATCTTCATACTTTGGGGTTTTATAGAAAAAGTCATTTACAATTGGAATCCACCCACTTCCCCGAACAGCAGTTCAGCCATTGCAGCTGGCAATCCCGCTCTTCCAGACCTTCACATCTCACTCCCCTCTCGTGCTGCAGGTCTCTGTAGCTGTCTCAGTACTACAGGCTAGGGGCGTGGTTCCCCTGCGCCTGTACCCATCCTTGCATTAGCTCTTATGGCACTAGAGCGAGTCTAAGTAGCAGTGTACAAGTCTGCCTGAAACTGGTGAGTCAGCCGTACCTCCCTCCAGGCTACTGTGGCTACACTATTTATATATGGGCTAGCGTGAGCATGTGTGAGCAGTGGAATCACACCCCTAGCTCATAGTGTAGACATAGCCTGCATGAGCACATTCCTCAATCCTCAAAACCAGGCATATCCTCCTGGGCAAACGGATCCGTTTCCTGCTGGAGTTAGATTGTTAGCATCTCAGGGTAAGGGCTGTCTGGTCTCTCTGTAAATAGCCGTTCACATCAGTGGCACTTTGCACGAATGCTAATAAAAAGTGGTGTAGCCACCTACTTGCCCTCCTGCCTCCTCTTCCTTGATGCCCACAGACTGCCTCACTGCTGGGAAAGTACTGGCCCAAAGGCCTACTCAGACCCTCTAGAATTGTTGCACTATTTCAGCTAACACAACCCTCCCTGCTTCCTGTGTGCAGGCCTGTAGCCTTAGAAGGACTGACGTGCCTAATGAGCTAGTCTGGTGAGAGCCAACGCTGCCTTGTCAGAGGCTTTTGTAACTTTTGAAACCTAATGCAGTGCTTTGCGAGTGCTGTTGATCCTCTCCATGTCCAAGATTGACACTGTGTGGGTGGAGTCACTTATGCAGCATTGGCCAAACAGCTGCAAAGCTGCATTTTAAATCATGCTGATGGCTGGCTGGCCGAGGTTTCCTTCCTTGTGGATTATCTAAAAATAGCCTGCAGTATGGCATGTATCCTGAAGACTGCACGGCCCCTTTAACTGGAACAGAAACTAGGCTTCAATTATTCAAGTATAGTACAAAAAAAAAATCAAGGGTTTGGAAGAATCTGGCTACATCCGTGTCTAGCTGTCCTGTGTATTTAGAGTGCCAGTCACGACAGTGTCAAGTGTGTGTAGGGCACGCAGGATGCATGTATAATGGTTGCTAATGGTGGGTGCTATAGTTTGGGTTGCAAAATGCTCTCCTTTTGTAAACCTGTTCTCACTTGCTTATAACTTTCTGGCAGATTACTCTTTAGGGGGCTGAAATTCTCATGATTTGGCTTTTTACCAAAAGTAAACTCTTTGGAAAGGAGTGTTTCCCTGGAGTTCTGTAAGGATGGCCATACCACCTTCTCCTTAGTATGACTGCCCGCATGTTTCACACATAGGTCCAATGACTATGATTTAGCACAGGATTAGTCCTTAGTGAGGTGAGGGGTTGCTTCTAGGCTAGGATGCTCTGGAGTTTGAATTTGTAACATTATGGCCTTTTGAAAAGGCCTTTTGGAGCGTGATTAATAGAAAATCTTTGGTCTATGTGCATATGCTCCTTAATGGCTGCATGGGTCCTATCTCACTGCTGGGCTTGTGTTGCTTCTGCTCAAATTTCCCTAGCACTCCGCTGGGATAGAGCACTATGACAAAGCCTCTGTCTGCAAGGTGTGCTGGTTCCCTGCTACTTGTCTGTACAAGCTGGTCAGAACAGATGCAAATGTGATGCCCTGAGTGCTGGAAAATCAACCTAGCCCCCAAACCAAGAGAAGAGAACCACTTCCCCTAGACATGAAGTAGATGCCTGGAGGCATGAAGCAGATGCATGTACTGCAGCCATCTGCTCAGACTACTGAAGCAGCAGTGTCCTACCTGCAAAGCAACTTCAGCATTGGCGGTGGGGGCCAGTAGAATGCTAGCTGATGTTCTCCCTATGTGATTCGCTTGGATCAGGACAGGGTAGACTGAAAAGCCATTAGAGAGTTGTGGGGATAGGAGAACAGGAGCTGCCTGCCCAGGGTAAGGAAGCCAAGGACTCCAGTGTCCCTGAGTGCTAGGATACCTGTTTTTGGTTGTGATGTGTGGGTGTAAGTCACTGAGTCAGCCATTCTTGCAAGTCCAGAAAGTCATAGCACATTTCCATTGTTCATGCAGTGTGGCTATTTTTGATCCAAGCTTGTCACCCATTCCTAAGAAAGTGGTGTGGGGGAAGGGAAGGGGCCTGGGCTGTTCCACATTCATGCCCTTACTTCCTCTTTCTCATGTTTTCCCAGGATGTGTTTATGCAGTTGTTTCCCTGCCATTGAGATTGGCTTCCTCCAACCATTCATTGGTTGCAATCAGGAAAGCAGCATCCCTTTTCCTGAGTTCATTCCCAGATTGACTTTTATTTAGATGCTTTGTTCTCCCATGACATAAGGCTAGCTGTGCTCTTTCAGCGTCTCAAAATGTAATGAATTTGGAGCTGCGTTTTTAAGGACCTGCGCTGCGTGGGGCACATGACGTCCCATTTGTCGCTCCCATTGTATGTCGCTTGCAATCTCATTGGCATAGCAAAGACGAGAAGGGAATAAATTGTCTGAAGGACACCAGAATAAGAGCTGTCCTCTCTGTAGAGAAGTGATCCTGGGGGACCCGGTGTACCCCTTACAGCCATGGTTCATGAAACCTTACATGGGAAACCTGGACAGCAGTAAGGAGCGGTTCAACAACAGGTTGAGTAGGTGCCGGATGACAGCTGAATGTATCTGTGGCAGATTAAAGGCACGCTGGCGATGCCTTTATGGCAGCTTAGACCTTAATGAGGATAATATTCCCTTGGTCATAGCCGCGTGCTGTACATAGCTTCACAGAGATTATGCAAAGGGTGAAAGGTTTGCTCAGGGGTGGAGTGTTAAGGCAGACCACGTGGCAGTTGATTTTGAGCCGCTAGGTACCAGGGCTATCAGAGAGGCCCAGAGGGGTGCAATTCAAATCAGGAAGGCTTTGAGGCAACACTTTGAAAACGAGAACCAGTAATGTATAGCTCTGTGATTGGTGCTGCAATATTGCATTACATGTAGTTTTTCTAGGAAGTAATGGTGACATCTGGGGCCTAATATTCCAGCAAGCACATGAATAATCTGCCAGTGTAGGTATTGGAAGTGCTTGCTATCTCAATTTGTAGAAAACAAATAAAGATGAGTTACCATTCAAAAACTTTGCTTTTACTGCACAAGAAACAGCACACACACAAACCCACAAAGATGCTTGGTGGGAAAGGAGGAACCAGGGAAGGGCAGACTTTCACAGCTGTGTATAGGTCCAGCTATCATTGTGAAAGCTGTCTGAGGGGGTGGAGTGAAGGGGAAACCGAGAAGTCCTGGAAAGTGGAAAGGACTGTGCAGGTGGAATTTGAGGGGGGTGTGGAAGAGAATTCTGAATCTGCTGCAGGGGAGGGCGAGCATGGATCTGCTTAGTCTACAGCATTAAGGACTTCAGCATCTACTTTAATCTTCCGATCAGTAGCATCCTTAACAAACTCCTGATTCTCTTTTCTGTCCTGCCATTTGGCTTCCCAGCACTCCTTGCGTTCCCTTTTCTCTGCACTGCAATACCTCCTTGGAACATGATGTCTTTGCTGCGTCTTGGGCGCTTTCTTATCTGGCAGAGACGCTCAGCCAGGGTGTGTGGGGTGTTCCTGAAGGCCACATTGGCCGAAGCACAAGAGACAATGCACAGAAGCAGGATTGTTAAATTCATGCACAGCATAGAAACATTTCAGTTAAATACATCTTTTGCAACATAATAATCACTTTCTCTCTTGGCAAGCACACATCTCCGCAAACACCCACAGCATGGTGAATGTTGGTGTGTGTGTGGGGGGGAAACACGCTCCACATGGGGAAAAGAACACCCTCTGCAAGGGTCGTGGTGCAGCTACTAGGGAAAATTCTAAAATTCTCCCGTGCTTTTCAACAGGCGGGGGTCATTCTAGCAGACCTCTCACTGCGAAGGGTTAGGAGGGAAACGAGAGTACGTC